AGATGAACTGTGAGGATTTCCCATTATTTACACGTGATTGTATGTCAACTATTTACAGGTTAATATTTATTTGTAAAGTAGTGAAACTTCTTATTATAAATGTAACAAGGGTTTCACGTATTCAGCTTGTGTTGTGAATACTAATATTATTAATTATGGATAAAAGATAATGATAATAATAAATAATATTATGTTCAGGGTTTAAATATGTACTAAAATTGTAACAACTAATACACTTATTTCCAGAATTAGTTATTAGTTGTACTTTTCAGTTACCTGGTACATGTCACGTACTGTGATATGTGCTCAGTGGCTGACACAAGATGTCACACTCTCTCTTGAGTCTTTCCGTCTTGGTGCTCCTTCCCTGGTTCAGCAGAGAACTGACCCCATCCTCTCTCTGAACCAGGTAAGCCTTCTAGTCTCTTTTCTTCTTTTGTATTTCTCTTAGATTCAGATTGTCACAAGAGAGAACTGACCCCATCCTCTCTCTTAACCAGTAATACAAAGTGTCAGCCACAGAGTACATGTCACAGTACCTTTCATGTACCAAGTAACTGCAACACCTGTACTTATGTACATAAGTACTTATCCATAATGTTGTTTACCTTTACCTCTTGTTATCTTATCATTATCTTTAACTTATCTTATTAATTACTTATCTATTAATTACATACAGATTACATACTTAAGTAATTATCTGAATCACTTGCCTTTCACTCATTTATCCATGAAACACCTGTACCACAAGCTATCCATGTTCTACAGTATTTTCACGGTCAAATACCTGTATAAAGAAATATGTACATGCCTTGAATGTTGAGTATCAATTAACCATTGAATAAATACAATCAATACATGTACCAATATTAATAATGACCTCATTAATTATTGTGTGATCCTAATAATGAATTCATCATTAATTATCCTTGTCCCCCAAGTCATCACGGACAAGAATCATTACAAATAAAATGTACATTTATTGTTTGCATATCGTCGTGTAACAATTGAAGTAATACAATCAATACATGCACAGATCCTCATTTGTTATTTTATTTGAAAGGATCTGTTAGCTGTACATGTCACAAATACCAATTACTGATCCTCTAGTAAATACTATGACAGCTCTAACAGATCATTCCAAATAAAGATCAGTTACTCAATTAACACTGCTCTCTCTCTCTTGGTACTTTCACCCGTGATTCAGAGCTCTTCCCCATTTCCCCATGTAATATTCTGGAACTTATAATCTGTGCCACTTCCAATGATTAATCCCCAGAATATTCAGACACCAGTTAAACCACTTAACATTTCTATTGATACAGTACACGTAACCAACATAAATCTAGTCTACCTTTATTGTTCTTAAGCTTCAGTACAACTTACTCAACTTATCCACAATATTCATAGCCTTGCTGAATATTCCCATCAACAATACCTGTTAATCTTCAACTAATTTTGTTAAAGCTTAATAAGTATTGTTAGCCCATTCCCTTTTGGGAATAACCAAATCAATCCCAGGTGAGTCTTAGTACCCTGGATGCCTATTAATAACTTGTATTGATCCGGATGCGCTGTTGATAGCAAGCCTCTCAGTAAAGACCATACTGATAGAGTGAAACCTCCTCTTTACAGGACTGATATTAATCACCCACTACCTAATACTCACCACGCTCAAACACTTCAGTCAACTCATAGTAACAACCTTTTACTACTAAACACTCAGGTTAGTTACCCAGAGGCTGACATTGGAGATCATATAATTTCCTCGAATCTGTGATGATAAAATTGACAGTTATTCTTTTCTTTTTTTTTTCTAAAAGCAGAACAATTAGAAGACTGACATCAAATGTTTTGTAACCATTGGAAGAAACTGTCCCAACAGATAACAACTTTGGACCTGAATCAGTGATTGAAATCTGAAAGTTGCTCAGCCGTCAAGCTGGAGGAAGGATTGATCACAGAAGTAAACCCTTCCAGCCGGAGTCCAGCTGGCCACTTTCCTCCTCTCAGCCTTGGGTATCCTTGGAGATACCCGGATATCCGCCAGGAATTTGGGGAAAAGCGGCCATCTGCTGTGGAACTACTCTTTGGGATGAATAGAGCTTGAGAGGGAATAGTGCTTTAATGGGCTGCCTCTCTGGGAACTAGGATGAGTAAGGTAGCAAGAAAAGAACAAGAGTATGGACTCTTAAGGAAAGGTGTGGCTTTGGAGATTTCTTGAGTAAGTTATGTCTAATATTTCTTATGTTTACTAGTCTAAATATACTTGTTCACAAATCAAGGTATCCCAAATGTTGATGGGCATATACCTGGCTAATAATGGGTGATCAGTTATCTGGCTTACTGGGGCAGGATCTGATGGGGAACAAATGAACATGAAAAACAAGGCTCCTTATATACAAGATTCTGGGGAGTGGCCAGCTTGTGGGTGGAAGGGGGAATATCAACCTGAAACAATGTGGCCCAATTGGTAGAGCATAAGATAAATGGGGGAAATGACATCAGAGTCATGCAGGGATGAAAGGTGCCACAACCAAAGAGGGAGGAAAAATATACCAAAGAGGTAAATGAACTAGCCAGATGTGTACTAGTGTGAGACATGAAAATAACCCAAGAGGAATAGTGTGAAACAATAGAATGTGGCCCAAAGTGGAAATGAGACTAGAGTGAAATTGGATTAGAGTGAAACACATGCAGAGGCCAAGTGTGGAAGGCTGAATGGGGATTGATGATGTAAGACTGCATGAAGTGATTATGTAATAAAGGAATGAAATGTGAATCCAGAGTTTCTTCTGTCCTGGGGGCTTGGTCTTGTGACATCCATGGTGTTGCAGGTTGGTTGAATATTCCAGAGGGGGCTTGTCTTGATCCTTGAGAGTATTGTTGTCCAGAGGGCTTGATATTGTGCTTGAGGCTTTGATTTTGTGGGCCTCTTATTCAAGATTGGCTTACCACACCGCACCCAAATCCGTATCCCCTGGCGGATATCCGTTGGCACTAGAGGGTATCCGCCAGCGGATGACGGGTATCCGTGACGGATACCCTCAGACCATCTCTAACTTTCTCCACTTGTATAAGATACTAACAAGAGATCTTTCTCTCCTGTCTAGACATGAAATAAAAGACATGTTGGTACTAGCAGCGGTGGGTAGTTACGCTATGCTACATTAATTCAAGCCATTTCTGTAGCATAAAGAACCTGTGTTACCCATTTCCTTTGTAACCGCTATCTGTAACGCTGAATCCTGCCGCCCTGTGTACCATAGTGATTATGATTTAATTTTTCCTTCCAGGCATGGTTAGCACAACGCTTTTTGCCCCTGTGTAACGCAAGAAATCCATATTCAGGGGTGAAACTGCCCTAACCACAGAAAATTTCTGCTTTTTCTTTGAATTCTGTATGAGATGTGTTGCTGCCGGGCTCAGTAGGGAGCAGAGAGGAGTTTCCCACTTCTTGAATTAAGTTGGGAGCAATTACAAATGTTTTTAAGACCCTCAAACCGCTTCATCTTTTCAAGACCTCAAGGTTACCTCCTCAACGACAACAATCAAATGGCGCCAGACCCAGTACTAGTACCCAAAGATTTAGTCATTGATGATTACCACACCAATCAGTCTCAACTTCATCGATCCCTCCGTGCCTCTTCAATTTTGGTGGCGCCCAACATGGTGGCATCATCATTGGACTCCCGCATCAGAATGACGCGCCCAGCCACTAAAAAACGCACCGCTGACACTTCTTCAGTCTGTTTGACCTCAGAGTCTGCTGCTAGTCAAGCGACACAGAAATTGCGGGGAAAAAAGAATTGAAAGAAAGGCTCCAGTGCCAAGGCTAAGGCGTCAGTTTAGAAAGCAACCAGAAGCAAGCCAAAGAAGAAAAAGACAAAAAGCTGTGGGTGTGAGATGGCCAAACAAGCAGAGTTGAGAAAACTTTATTAATTGTTCTTACCCTTTTAGTTGATTCAGACTTCTGAATTGAGTTTTGCTTGTTTGATAGGGAGAAGAAGGAGGCCACGACTACAATCAGGAGATTGATGATGACGTGGAGATCCAGCCAAGGGAAGATAAGGCTGCCAAGTATAAACAATTTGATGATATACTGGCGCAAGCCAGGTGACAAGTCAAAGGATCCAATTAATTTCACCTGTAAGTGGTGTAACGTCACCTATCGAGGGCATGGGTCAACCAACGGGAATTTGTTTTCCCATTGTGAAGGTTCCACCCAAGCCAATAGGAACCCTAATGGCTGTGTAAATTGTAACAAGGCCATACAATCTGGGGCCAAGTTACCTCCCTCGGTTGCTCAGCAGAGGATCTTGGATGCCAAAGCTAGTGGCGACTCTACACAAACCAATATCAAGGAATTCCTTCAAGTCAAACCAAAATTTGTCAACTGTGTCCTCAACCAAATGCTGATGATTTGGCAAGTTTGACAAGCCCTTCCTTGGTCCCGACTAGAAGACCCTTATCTTCGAGCTGCTTTCTTGTACACCAATCTTAAAGTGGTACTTTATGGTTGTCGATGGTTGGCTGATGAGTCCAAGAGGTTGTATTCCATGCTGAAGAAACATACCTTCAACAAGTTGAATGTGAGTGGTCTGTTCACTGTCTTTCCAATACCTCAATGTAATTTGATCACTGAAACCGGTGTACAACATCACCTACCTAGAATTTGGATACAAAGTTCACCCTCATACACAATGTATGTACAACACAGGGGAACAGATTCGCTTTCATTGGGGCGGCCGTTGCTTTCATCAACTCTGATTTGGAGTATGTTGTGCATCACCTGACACTCAAGATGATCCCGTGGAAGCACCATGGACACCTTTTAGCACGTCCGATTGCCGTGATTCTGAAGAAAAATAAGCTTTATGAAAAGATAAGTCTTGTGACTTTAACCATCTGTCTTAAGATTTCTATCCGGTCCCTGTGCTGACATTTTCCATCTATACATGTTAGCACAGACCACCGACTCAGGTTCCAATAACAACACCATGGCAAAGCAAATTTGCAACCTTCTAGTTGGTAACAAAGGTTACCAACCAGGCTCGTGGGACCCAACTAGTATGCACATCCGGTGCTTTTGCCACAAGCTGGCCTTAATAGTAAACGCGGGCCTGCAGGCCCTGTCTCTCAAGACTCTTCCTCCCAAGAGAGAAAAAGCATCAGTTCTGGGATTCTTCCCAGTCCTTGGGAAGATGGTTGAAGAAGATGAGCAAGATCTCAGTGTTCAAGATTTGCCTGTTGACGTCAAAGGTGCAAAGAAGACAAGCCCTCCCATCAATCTTGCGTTAGATTCCGACAGCGACTATGGGAATGCAGACAATGAGAATTCAGACAAAGGCCCCAAAGAGTCTGATGAAAACAACACAGATCACGAGACCACGTCAGCCGCACATCTTCAACATGCCAAGACCACCAAGCTCAAGGAGCTTACCAAGGAGCTTGATGTAGTGATCAAACAGATCACTCGCTCAGCAGCCCAGCGTTCAAACTTTGACCTTACGACTCGGAAGCTGAATTTTAAGGTGGCCCCTTTGATTGCGGGGTACGGCATCCGCTGGAATATTTGCTATCAAAGTCACTGTAAGGCTATTGAAGCCCGTGAGGTGATTGATCAAATCCTCAAAGACAATCAGCAGCACAACTCACCAGAAATCTTTTCCAATGCATACTTCTCCCCGCGCGATTGGAAGGAATTAGATGACCTCAATTGTGAGCTGGAGTGTGAGCCTGGGTCTCTATAGTGACAGCAGGACACAAGGTCTTTGGGGGGCACTTTTAAATGTATTTCTCAAGATAAAGGAAATACAAGTCAAAGTAGAGGAGAGGGAAAGAAGAGAAGGAAAAGAATAGAATAATCTTTTTTTTCTTTGTTTATTTTATGAAGAATATTAAATTATGGCAGTCTTACTGTCCCTCTTGGATGGCTGCAGACAGTCTTACTTTCCTTAGTAGGATGGCTGTTGTAAGCGGAGCTAACTCTGACACCTCCAAATCAACAGAAACTGAAATGGGTTATTGACACTGATGAATCAGGTCAACCACAATTTTTTAGATCAAAGATCAAGGCTCTTTAAAGGGAAACCTATGTATTTTTCAGTTATACTACCAAACAGGAAGAGTAGAGATAATAGAAGCTGGAGCTTGCTTTCTTTGATCAGGGCTTTGGTTTGAAGAGGAGTGAAGAGAAACTGAGAACGACAGAGAAGAGAAACAAGCAGAAAGATTCTAGCTTAACTTATGAGAAGTGACTTACCAATGATACCAATGACACTGAGTAGTGGGAAAGGTAGGAAAAGTGAGGTCCTTCTGGTTGATAAGTGTTTGCTTGATCTGGGTCTGGTTGTTGGTGTTCTGTGTTGGTCTGGAGTCTGAAAATCCTCTGGAAGCGGAATCAACAAGCTCAGAGAGGATTTTCAAAGTTGGATTATGTAATCTGGCATGTACATGTGGTAGAGGGAGCTGAAACCTTAAGGTTGGAATAATTCTTGGAGTACTGTGAATTGTTACAAAGTCAATGAAGGAATGGAGTTGGGTAAAAGTGATCAGTGGTGACTAGGGTTAATTTTACACCAGGAATCCATTTCTGAAGTCAAAAAGGTTAAAAGTCTTAAGATAAAAAAGATAAGATAATATTTGGAGTAGAAATGGGCAGTTTTGGCAGTCTTCTGGCCAGCTTGGCTGGCTCTAAGGCTGACATGGAGGTATATTCAAAGCTCACTTCTGAGATGGAAGGAAATTCTTCGACTGTTACCCATGTCCTGACGAAGTACCTTGAACTCAAACAGAGTCTTACTACAAAGATTGAAGCCTCTTCGGAGACTAGCTCCCTGTATCCTATGTATCAGGCTATGCTAAAACGGGTCAAAAAGTATCTTAACAAGGCGATGGAATGTGAAACTCTTGTAATTGCCAATATCTTGCATCCCTGTTACAGGATGCATATCTTTGAGCTTGCGTTTGGATCATAAAGTGACAAGGCTGTCCATTGCCTCAAGCGGCTTCAAAAAGAATACAACAGGACAAAGGAAAACATTGAATCGAACAAGCCAACAGAGAACACCAATGACATTGTTGAAGTTGAAAAGCCATTGACTTCCCTGCCCGGTTCTCTTATGGCTTGTCTGGCCTCAAAAATGGGCAAACAAAAAGACAATCCTCAGTCAAACGAGATCAAAGCATACCTGAAAGCCAAGCTGTTTTTCAAGGACAATGATTTGGATCACAAGACTACACCACTAAAGTGGTGGAGGGTACATTTTTTGAACTCTCGTCTTGTGTATTTATGCAGATGCTGACCGACCAATTCCTGAATACACAGGCTAATAGGACAACTTACCCAACGCTGGCAATCATTTCCCGAGCGTATCTGGGGTGCAGTGGAAAGATTGTTCTCTGCAGCATCTGATGTATGTAGTAGCAACCGTGGTTGCCTTCTCCCCTCAACTATGGCCCACTCTGTCAGCAGCCTCATGTGGCTGCAAGAGGAAGTGCCTCTAACCAGGGACTTTCTTGAAGCTGGGAAAGCTTTCAAGGCACTGATCCCCCATAAAAAATAGATGTCTTTTTGATAACCCATACATATTGTTACATTCAATGATTATTGCGTTATCACTTCCTATCCTGTGCCCCTCCAATACTGTAGTCTCCCAAAAAAAAATGCCGTTACAAGCATTGGATAGCGTAGCTACAGCGTGTTACTACTAACGCGGGCACTAACAAGCCCAAACCCGTTACGCTACAGCTGCGTTGCGCGTTATCTGCAACATAGCTACCCATTGTTGGTACTAGAACCTTTCTCTCAGGAGCTATTGAGCCCTTTGCTAGTACTATTCCGACGGAAAGTGAAGGACTCAACAGAGTCCTTACAATCTTCAACCCTTTCCTTTGGTACAAACACAACAAAACAAAGTCTTATATTTTTCTTGGTTTGTTGCAAAAACACTTCCATCCCCCTCCAATATCAAAAATTGAAGGTTCCTGGATGTGAGGAGTATATTAATTGTGCCTACTCAAAATCTTGGCCTCAGTATGTGAAATATTGCGAATTGTTCAATGTGCACCTCATCTATGGGTGCATGAAATGGAATGGAAACACATAGCAGTTGGAGTGACCCAATGAAATTGACCATGGGTGGTGCAGCCGCCCTTGAACCCTAGTGTGGATTATGCCAGTGATGAAATAGGTGAAATGAATGTGAAACAAGGGAATTAACAAATGTGAAATGGTAAAAACTAGGGGCAGTTGGTGTAGCAAAACATTTAGTTGACCGGTTCAGGGGTAAGTGGGTTTTGCTTGCCAGCTGACAGCAAGGCTGCCACTACCAAAAACATTAATCCTGCTCACAGAGTGTGTTTTAGGTGCATCTAATTTGGAGGGTTGCTTGGCAATGCCAAGAAGGATTGGACTCTTGTTGAGTTTGTTGAAATGACAGTGCCCAATTGAAAAGGCTTGCCCACTTGTGGTGTGACATTCCAAGCTGGAGTCCGATCTGTGACAGTTGGAGTTAGTCTGGACCCTCCCCTTGTATGCCACAGTCGTCACCACCACCAGATCTTCAGTCAGACTGTATGTATCCATTTCCCATTAGGACATTCGAACGATATATATATAAGGTCAGTCACAGTAGAAGGAAGTGGTATATCAGTATGCAGAACACAGCTCAATTGACCTCGTAAGAACCATCTCCTGCCAACAAACAGGCTGTCGACCAGGGAAAAAATTATAGAAGTGTATACCTATCAAAGCAATCGATCGAACCGTCCTCAAGTGAGGACTTACGGACATCATGGGTTTGCCAACATTCTTTCCCTTCTACTTGACATTCGAATTTCGATTTACTCACGTGATGCTCCATTTTAAATCACAGGTGTTTCAAAGGTTCGGAATCCAATACTCTTTCTGAACACATTCCGGCTAACTGTGAACGAAAAAAAAGAAAAGAATCATGATATCTAAGTTCAGTATGTTGATGAATCCGTGGGGGTGACGAACAGTTCTTTAGATGGATGAGCGAAAGATATCCCTTTGTGCTTCAACTAGTAGAAGAAAATAGGATTCCTCAATTTGGTTCGCAATCAATCTCTTATATCTCTCTTGATCAGAAAACGTGTTTGATCGGCTAAACGGATTCTTTTTGCATCAATCAGACAATCTCTACTTGGATATGAACGGCATCATTCATCACTGCAGTCATCCGAATGAAGGAAGTGCACATTTCAGAATGTAAGATCCCCCCTATGTCCCCAACTTGCGTGTGCATTTTTTCTCTTGGAGTTTCGTTGACGATTCTTGTTTTTTCTTCTGGATTCTTCGTGTTTTTTTAGAACCGAGGAAGATATTTATTTAGCGATATTTTCATACTTGGAACACTTATTCGCGCTAGCCAAACCTCAAAAAGTATTTTTCTTGGCCGTTGATGGTGTTGCACCACGAGCCAAGATGAACCAGCAGGTTTGAACTAACTTTTTTTTTGCAGCATAGATTCAAAGGCTAACAACGATTTAAAATATCTCTGCTCAATTCCCAACACCCAATTTTTAACATAGCGTTCTCGAAGGTTCAAGACGGCAAAAGAAAATCAAGAATTGATCGAGAAAGCAATTCGAAGAGGGGAAAAGCTACCCGACTCAACTGGGTTTGACAGCAACTGCATTACGCCTGGTTTGTGTTTAGACAAATTGCATTATTTTCTAGATCGATAATAACATACCATGCCATCTCTCCTGGTCCAGGTACTCCGTTTATGGCTCGATTATCTGAACAGTTGAAATACTTTATCAACAAGAAAGTATCCGAGGATTCTGCATGGCAGTCAGTCCAAGTTATATTCAGTGGACACGATGTGAGCATCGTTATTTACATGGAGAATTATCCCTATTTTTGCCTAACGGGACATCACAGCCAAATAGGATTTCCGCAAGACTCACGTATGTTTCCATGATGACAGGTACCAGGAGAAGGTGAACATAAAATTATGGAATATATCCGACTATCGAAAGCACAAGAAGATTACAATCCCAACATTCGACATTGTGTTTATGGCTTAGATGCAGATCTCATCATGTTGGGATTACTGTCACACGACCCACACTTTTGTTTATTACGAGAAGAAGTGAAGTTTTCGGCGCAGAAGAGTTCATCAAAAGGGCTTGAAAATCAGCGATTTTACCTCCTCCATATCTCTCTCGTTCGCGATTATCTAGATTGGGAGTTTGCAAGCTTACGAAAAGTGAAAGATTTAGAGTACGACCTCGAACGAATCATCGACGACTTCATTCTACTCTGTATATTTGTTGGAAACGATTTTTTACCTCACCTGCCAAATCTACACATCAACGAAGGCGCCTTGGGATTGCTTTTCGATATCTACAAGAGGGTCTTACCAAAAGCGGGAGGTTATTTAAATGAATTTGGTACCCTTCACACCGAACGATTACAACTAGTTTTGAATGAGTTAATTGTATATGAGCGAGAAAACTTCGAGCATATATGCGCCGACTCTAGCTGGATCGAAAGCAAACGTTCGTCTCACGGGAAGTCCAAGAAAAAGGCGACCAACAACCCTCTGGTTCTAAGTGAGACCCAGCGCACTCTCCTTTCAAAAATCGAACAATTCGTCCAATCCAATCTCAACTCTCCTAGCAAATACGAAGCCACCCTAGCTCTACCAGCATGTTACCCAGCAAAAGACCGAAAATTCCTCAGAGATTTGGCCGCCGAATTGAATCTATGTATTTCCTTTGACGAATTTAACGAGAACGATGAACCGCTGATCACCTTGGCATTTGATCCGGACCAATCCCCTCCAGAGGATTCGGCCATCAATGCCGTCCAGGACATGCTAGAAGATTTCCAACTCGGTCAACCGGCCAAACCTGAAACCAATACAGCCCAATCCAAAGTTGATGAAGTCTTTCATAAATACACTCAAGCCGCTAAGGAACCTGAATGGAACGAGGATGATTTTGATCAAGAACAAGAACAGAAATTTCAAAAAGCCTTATCCGAATGGAAGTCGCAATACTATCATGTAAGCCGATTATCCGAAGCTCCGCGTTTCATCTAACCTAATTGTCAGACTACTAATGCTGAGACGATGTCAACTTTTGATTTCTCTCTAGGAAAAAATGAATCTTGATTTTGCCAATCCGGACCAGCTTCATGAGCTCACCTACGCCTACACAGAGGGCTTGCAATGGGTTCTACACTATTATTACGATGGGGTTGCTTCGTGGAGCTGGTTCTACCCGTATCATTACTCCCCCATGATTTCAGGTAAGTCTCAAGTTTAGAGTATCATTTTTTGGTTGGCTTCACTCAAAATGCCTCCTTTCATTTTTTTAGATTTAAGCAATGTGGCGCCATATAAATTTTCATTCAACCTTGGGAAACCCTTCAAACCATTCGAGCAACTCATGGGAGTCCTTCCAGAATTAAGTTCCTCTCATGTTCCGCCGGCATTTCGAGTAAGCTATAAGACCCATTGGTTTCCTAACCAAACTTGTCCATCTTTGACCCGAGTCTGAAACAGAACAATTTATTTGCAATGATTTCCTCAGGACTTGATGGTCAATTCAGAATCCCCGATCATCGATTTGTATCCGCGGCAGTTCGAAACCGATCTTAATGGCAAGAAGCACGATTGGGAAGCGATAGTTAAAATTCCTTTTATTGACCAAGATAGACTTCTCAAGGCTATGAAAGGTTAGATAAGAGCTTACAATCAAGCAGCCTTGCTCAATGAAAAAATTTAATATTAACATCTCCTTTTACCAGCTCATGAGCACAAACTTTTAGACGAAGAACGTAGGAGGAACGAGTTTGGTCCGACTTGGCAGTTCAGATACAACCCACAAACCTCGGTCACCTATCCATCCTCTCTGCCAGGCTTTTTCCCAGAACTTCACAACTGTCATTCGCGGATGACGGTGTACGATCTTCCGACGATCCAAGGCTTGCGATTGATCAAAGGGCTTTGCCAAGGCGTTCTACTAGGAAAAGATACAGTAGCTGGATTCCCTTCACTTCACAATTTACCCCATACGGGAACCTTACTATTCCATGGAATCAAAGTCCATCAATCCGAGAGTAAGGGGGAGACGATCGTGCTAGATATTCCCAATGTTTATGAAGGGACGAAGATAGAAGACCTTGCGAACACGCTCCTGGGCTCCCGAGTCTATGTGAATTACCCGTTCCTTCGGGAAGCCAAAGTGACGGCGATATCCGACAGTCTGTTCCGATATGAACTAGACCCGCACTCGCAAAGATGTCGATCGATCCCTCATGAGGATAGGGCATTAGCTCAATGGCAACGCTCCGCCGACGGGATCGAGTACGAACTTTCGAAGAAGTGCGGAATGGTGATCGGTGACGTCGATGTGATCGTCCATGCAAAGCCAATCAAAGGCCTCCAAAGGATGGAAGATGGTGCATTGGTTAAAGAATTCGAAAGCCGCGATTGCGATTATGCTTTGCAGACTATCGTCTTACAAGTCTCCTCAGCCGACCCCCGATTCATGGTACGTATTCTTTTTCATAAGCTGCTATTCAATCCCTCTCCATCTGAGGGTCTGACCGTCCCGCCTTCCTCCTCTTTTTCTTTCTTTCAGGAACAAAGTGCCAAATCGATCACCGAGGAATTCCCTCTGGGAAGTAAAGTTTTTTTCCTGGGTACATTACTATATGGTGCTCCAGGACAGGTAGTTGGACATTCTAAAGATAAGCTTGACTTACGGATCATGGTATGCTCAATTCTTTCCTTCTCGATAATACAGTCAGGATCTGGAGTTTAATTTAATTAAAATGATTGGTTGAATAGTCATTTCCGACGGACAAGGAAGAGAACTTTGCGTTTCGAAGTGCCTTAAGAGCGGAGGGTGGAGCCTCGAAGCCATACGTTCCTTCGCACGTATTATGTCGACGATTGGGGATCGGAGGATTGACTCTGAGTAAGATCACCTCGAGTATCATGGTCCTGGAAAAACCAGGCAGTGATAATAAGACCAACATCGGTCTTAGTATGAAGTTCGAAGCAAAAGCTCAAAAAGTACTCGGCTTGACTCAAAAATCTGAATCTGGTTGGGAATATTCTTTTGAAGCTGTCAAATTAATCGAAGAATATCTGGTAAGCGTGTTACGTTTTTTTTTTCCTCCTGAAAGAGTTCATCAGGATTGACATGTATTTTGACGGTTTCAAAAAAAAATTTAAAGGAACGATTTCCAGAGGTCCCAGAAAGATTAGAGAGTCGAGGAAGCGATCTTCTTCGAGCGCAAGATTTCTTCCCCGAGCAACCAGAGGCGCGATTAGCCGCGGTGAAGGGATGGATCAAGTCGAAGGGGGTACGAGATTTTGACCGAGTAGGATTAGAGACGGACTCATTAGAGCGAGGGACGATTGAGAGATTCGAGGCGATCACGAGCAAGTTCCTAGCCGAGCGGACGCCGGAGAAGGTCAAACAGGCTATCATCCGTCATGTGCCTCGTCGGGCAATCCTCAAACCTTCCCATGCCGAAGAACAACTCAAAAACCAATCCTTCGAGTTGGCTGATCGGGTGACTATGGTCAGTGATCGTGGGACAGTGCCGATCAGCGCTAAGGGTGTCGTCGTCGGGATTACTGAGAAGTTGATCGATGTCGTGTTTGATGGACCATTTATTGGTGGAACCACCCTTTCGAACCGGTTTGTTTTGATGTGTTGTTTTCTTTGTTTAGGATGGCATTTTGAGGCTATCAAGAGGAAGAAGACTAAAAAAGCATGTGTTTTTTTTTTTGGTTCTATAGATGTGAGATGTATCGAGGGGTTTCGATAGGACCGAGTACGATCCTGAATCTGACTACGCCTCAATATCGACAGAGCATTACGGGCGGAGTTCCACAGGAGAAAGCGGCGATCAAGCAGCACGGTCCACCAGTAGAGGGTCAAGTGGCGGGTGCCCAACAGGGTCTTCGAGGCCGATGGCAGACGGGAGGGGTGGCTGCGAGCATCAACAATGGACGAGGAGGTCCGGCGGTAGCGAGTCATCCACGAGGAGGACCGCCGACACGAGGAAGTTGGTCGGGCGGCGAGCAGACAAGCCGCGGGGCGCCGGAGCCGACACGGATCTACGGGCACCCGAGCTCCCGGCATGTCGAGGAACCGGCGACGAGCCGGCCGGCCAATGGCGCAGGATGGCGCAGCGGCGCCGGGCGCGAGGGAGCCGAGACGACCTCTCATCGGGGCAGAGGCTCTGCGGGGACATACCGGGGCCCGTCTGAGCGGACGGTGCTTGCCCGACCTCCGGCGCCCTCTCAGCCGGTGGTCTCTCCTGGCCCGGCGCCTGAACGCGACGGCCCATCCTGGAGGGGTCGCACTGGACGAGGTCACCCCAGTAATAATGGTGCTACTCCTCCGCTTAATGGTAGGGGTAGTCCGGCCCCCGGTAGGGGCAGCAGGGGCAGAGGAAGACCGGGCCCAACCAGAGGATGAATATCAACTTTCGTGCTCGCTCACTCGCTCGATTGATGTTGTTTTTTCCTTCTTCTTCTTCTTCTTCTCTTGCGCTCCTCTTAAATACTTTGTTGTGTTGTTTTTGCTATGTTTGCTCTGATGAAATACGATCGAAGTGGTCTGTGACTTGAAAACTGACCCGGTGAATGTCCTATCTACATGGTCTGGAATTTTGCTGTTGTTGCTGAAAAGTGAAAAAAAAAAAAAAGTTGGATGTTGCTCTCGGGGTATTAGTACTGGGAGAGAGTGAGTTTCCGATTGATTTGTCTCCATCATGGATCCCAACAAGAACTACCGCGGAGTTCACTTCAAGCCATCAACCGAACAACTCAACCAACAACACCAACAACAACAACAACAACAGCGACAACAATCAGACCCAACCCAATTCGTACAAACATGGCAACAACGACACTCGATCCTCAACAAACTCACAACAACCATACTATCAACAGACCAGGAACTACTCGAGCAATACCAGCATCTCAAACCTAGCACGACACCTAACTGCGAACTAAGCCATCAATTCGGATTCCTGCTCGAACGCGCCCAACAACAGCAACAGCAACCAACAACAGCAACAACACCAACACCGTCGGAACAGAAACTGCTCCAACGATGTCTCAGAACTCAGATCGAGCCGTCCAAGGACTTCATCCTCATCCGCAAGATCTCCGATGGACAATCCGGCTCGGTACGCTTCTCCCCCTTTCCTTCAATTCATTCATAATCTGATCCATTTTGGGTTTGTATCCAGGTCCATTTGATTAGAACTCGATTGTCTAGCCTCGAAAGTCTCAACCAATCGAACTTCTACATCCTCAAAAAAGTCTCCAAACGGGTCTCACGAAGGATCCAACAAGTGAGCATGATCGTATAAGTCTTACAGCAATCACCAGACAAATGATAGCTAACACTTTCCGATATGAACTGCCAAAAATAATAGTATAGCTCGATCGAGACGGAGTTATCGATCCTACTTCTTTCGCGTGGCTCGACGAGCTCGGGAGTGAAGCGACAGCCGAAGCTACACCTCTCATTCCAGACGGAGACGGATCTGCACTTGGTGCTAGAATACAGCATGAGCGGCTCGATCGCGGACCATTTGGGCCAAGAGGGGGGCGGCATGGCGGAGAGAAGGGTGTCGGAGGCCCAGTTGCGGGGATGGACGGTCGACGTGCTGGCGGGACTCGATTGGCTCCACCATCGCCATCGCTTCTGCCATCGCGATGTCAAGCCCGCTAATCTCCTCATCAACCATCCCGACGGCCATATCCTTCTCACCGACTTCGCTACCGCCGCACCACTCGTCCTCCTTAATCACTCTAACCATGCTCATACCCGTTCTTCGGATACACTTGTCGTCCCCAGAAATCATCGGGTCGTCATCGTCGGCACTTGTGATTACATCGCTCGTCCGTCCCCGTTGTTTTTCTCTTGCTCATCTCTCTCCCTGATAGTGTCCCATAACAGCATCACAAGATCTAAGCCTGCTTCCTTCCTTCTTACAAAAAACAAAAACAGCCGAAGTTCTAGAAACTCATCTGACCCAAACCATCGCGACCCTGTCGCACTCGACAGTCTCCGGCCGCCCGACAGCTAGTACGCCGACTGGCAGGACAACAACGATCACGGGGGGCCGTCATGATCAGCCTGGGCCTCCTGCTTCACCGAATGAACACGACGAGCCGGCATCGAACGGGGGCGCTTATGGCCCGGAAATCGATCTTTGGAGCTTTGGCGTCTCGCTCTTCGAGGTCCTTTCCCCCTCTTTTCCTCTTCTTATCCCTTGCTCTTACTTACCTTTTTGGCGTTTTTTGTTTTTGCTTCAATCGATCGGTCGGTCAATGTAGATGGTTTATGGCCGATTACCTTTCTTTTGTCCGTCCATCAACGACACTTATTCTAAAATAGTGGACCATAAAGTTCAGTTCGATTTCCTTCTCATTTATTAGACCATCTACTTTTTCAGTCCACTTCTTTAGAGCTGACGATTTGCTTGAATGTTTGATGATTATGTGATTAGTCTTATCTCAAGATTCCAGAGGTCAGGGGTCGGAATAACGGGACTGATTATGGCCAAAGATACTACCCTGATGATGATGGTAGTGATGATGATGAACAGGAGGAGGATCAAGAAGAACCGGTTTCAGGAGCATTACAAAGCTTTCTGAAGGTGTATGTGCCTTTTGCCCCCTATTTATTAAAGCAATAGTGTCGCTGACCCTTTTCCTCTTCATGCAGGCTACTTTGTAGTAGAGAGAATAGGATCGGATGTGGGTCTGAAGGGTTAAAGGAAGTCAAAGCGCATGAATGGTTTAGAGGCCTAGACTGGGACGAAGCTCAAAGACGTCAGTCCATCGTCCCCAACATAGACGCGTCCACTTTTCCTCTTGGTGGACAGGGTGGGTGAAATTGACCGAATGGAGGAAACGCATGTTTATGTTTTCAGGACCGGTGCCAGACTTTCAACGATCACCTATAGATATCAATCGCTTAGGAGACAGTGTATGTCTTGATGAAGGAGCAGCAGGCGCCGAAGGAGACGACGACCAGCGGTTCAATTTTTCGGCATTTTTCGGCTCGTCGCCTGGCCTTTCTACTTTGAAGTCGAACACCAAGAAGAACAAGAAGACTGGTGAAGATGGAGGAAGTTGGAGAGATGATGATGATGATGATAGTGATGAAGACTCGGCAGATTCAGAGGAATCGGATGAGTTTTTTGGGTTCACCTATTTACCGAGCGATCCGGATGAGTTTAACCGAGCCCAAGAGGATCACCAGAGTCGGCAGAGAGCTGAAGTCGAGTATC